TGCAGCTGCTTCTTGGTCTGCTAAAACCAGTACCTCAAACTTTGCTCTGCAGCACCCCTAGAAAGTACCCTCTTGCTTCTTGCCAGTGATGACTGGCTGTGGTTTTTCTGACTACACGCCAGTATGAACACAAGCCATTCATATAGAAATTTAGATGGTGTCACTGGAATCTTTAAAAAAAGTCATTATAAAAGAGATCAGCTGCTTTGAATACATAATTTCTCTTACCAAGTCAACCATGAGTTGAAATTCCCATGGTGAATTATGCAGCAGGAGCCCAGGCTTGCAAAAAGATGAGTATTCTCTATCTGATTTGCTATACACAGACTGTTAAAGACCCCTGTGTATTCCTGAAATGCAGTCGATAATCTCTCTTTTGTGCTGTATAAGCATTCTGCATTCTGCATTTTTCCCTTAAAAATCCATTTAGAAAAATCAAATAAATCCTTTTTTAAGGTTGAGCATCACAAATCACCCTTTATTTTCTAATCCTTAGTTACAGGATGAAAATGAAAGTTGTTCTGTAGCCTGCAATCCCAATGCTATAGTGTATGTATCATCCTGTTCTCATTAATTTTGCTTTGCCTAATTTATTTTAATAATGTATTCACCATTAACAAAAAGAAGGAAAGCCCACAAGTCATTAACAAAAATTACCAGCTTTCACCTAAAACTTTACATTGTTTTAACACTTACAATACGTTGTATGCTAGTCCCTAATAAAGACAACTATTCCTAGATATAATATATTAAATAAAATACGGTATGCATTATAGACTGCTACTGTTCTTAATCAGGAGTGAAACAATTTTTCTACCTTTTCTTATCATCGCACAATAAAAGTATCCAGTTGAGTTAGCGTTAACTCAGCAACATGCTGTTAATCTTTTGAAATACGTGATCTGATCAAACCTGAGGTTCAGGCAAGAAAAAGCAAGTAGTAACTACACAAAATCATCCCTTTATCATAAACATGAACACACTGGCAGATAAAATCTCTCTGGGGTTGCAATGCTGGGAAGGCACTTCAGAAGAAAGAATGGAACCTGGTTCCGAGAACAGTGTGCAAGGCTACAGCCCTTACCAGAAATTTCCTTTTCTGCTTCCAGTGGCTTCCTTGTGCATTGGTGGCCACATGTGCTTCAGTAACAATTTTGATCAGCTCCCATTCCTCATCTGTTGGCTCTGGTTTGTGCCCAATGGTTTTCTGCAGCTCTTCCCGACGTCTCTTCTCTCGATTTTCTTCTATCAGCTTCCTCTTTGCCAACCGCTTGCTGTCATCCAACACCACTAGCAGGGGAAAAAACATACAAAAATGGCAGGAAGCTCTTAAGGCTGTTTGAACTTTGGTCTTTTCTCTGCCTGAGGTACTAATTGATTACAAACACTGTAACTAATCAGTAAAGAAGTACCCTGGGAAGACCCACAGTTGAGACAGTTCTCTTATTTCTCCCTTCCAACTTCATTTTCTCAGAAGTCTACATGGCAAAGAATGACTTCCCCTCCTGGCAATGTTTTGTATACTGCCATTGCCTTCAGGGGGTTATTCCATCAACAAAATTAACATGTAAAAGCTTTGTGAGGTGTCAAAGTGCTCCTAAAATGGACTTGAAGTAATCAATGTTGGGAAATATGCACTTCTGTTTTCTTTGAAGTAGTATCAGCATGCTCACTGCTCTGAAGTGTAGAATGTGTTCTTGGGAGCCAGCAGAAGGTAACATGGGTTGAAGAAAGTGGGAGTATTTATTCACAGGAGGCTCAACTGCCTGTTGCATGACACAAGCAGAAAAAACGTGCCTATTGTTTTGTCTTTCTTTAATCCCTAGAAATGGTGTTGTTATGCAATGTTCCTGTAGAGTCTCATGACTTCCAGTGATGCCAGAGAGGCAGGCCCTGAGGCTGCACATCTCTGATCACCATCTCCCTCCTGACCCAGGGAGATCCAGCCCCTCTCCTGAAGGTCTACCTGGCTACAATGAAATTGTCTCTTTTATTCTATTTCCCTTTAGACAGAAGGCACTGTTATACACTACATTAACAATGAAAATACTAAGTTAGACTATTTTTCTGTTGTTTACTGGGCCTGTTTTCCTGTCAGTTCTTCTGCAAAGGATTACACTGGTGACAACCATGAAGGCACAGGGGAATTTATGTGACTTCTGGGGGTTTTACATGACTTCTTCCCATTTGCACTAATTGAAGTTATTGGTGTAAATTCCTGTGCAATGGCAGGAAAAGAAGACTCCTAAGGGTTAATCTTACAGCCATATTTTCTAGTTCTTTAGAATGAGATTCGAATTCTTTGCAGCAGATAACTTCTTCAGGGCTAAAAATAAAACAAACAACTGCAGGATGACTCATACAATGACATTCAATTTCACATCCTCCAGAATTTTCTAAACAAGATGTTTTTATCTCAAGCAAAGTGTCCATCCAGATGCATTTCTCCCTCCTCTCCTCCAAAGAGTGAACATTCTTACTGTTACTCAGCTTGGTAAGGCCAGGAGAAGGTGGAGCCTGATGAAGGATAAACAAAAAATTACAGCCTTATGAAAGTGGCTTGGTGCAATGAGTGCAATTCACTGCTACAAGTTATTAAAAACAGAAAAGTGCTGGCAGTTCTGTTCTACTTTAACGACCTTCATCAATCAACATACTTTAAGCAAACACGGACATTGAAAAAAAAGGTACAAGAAAGAAAACCAGAAAAATATACTCACAATCTGTTGCCATGCCAACAAAGATACATTTTTTGAAGCGACATTCCTGGCACTGATTTCTTGTTACTTTGTCTATCACACATTTTCCTTCATATTTACAGGAATAGGTTGGATGGAGGTTCTTCTGAATGGTTCTTCTAAAAAAACCCTAAGTGCAAAAAATTAATATATTAGAAAGTATTAGCATTGAGCAATTTTATCAAACTGGGAGTCATTTTGCTTTGTTAGGAATGTACCTAAGTATGCAAGATAACATATTTCATTCCATGAAACTCTTAAAGGGGAAAAGAACAAATCAGTTTTATAGCATATGGCATTTCTTTGAGTTTCCTTAAAAATTAAAAACATATAGACATCTTAGGTAAATAAAGGTGTAAATAATGCTGTCTTGAGGCACAAATACTGTCGACCTTCTTCTTGTAGTCTTATGTTTTAATGTTTTAAATTTTTTTTGTATATAAAGTAGGAGGTTTATATTTGATCCCCTTTCCAAATTCTGTAATCATTTTGAAGGATATTAGGAGGTATATACATAGCTTTAATTGAAGAGCAGCTTCTGCAAATGATAAGAATGGTGGTGTGTATGTGCTAACAAAGGATGAGGAACAAAGAGTTCTACTCCTTTCTTTCCACAAAAGCCAAATAACCAACCAACCAACCAAATCTGGGCAAGACTAAGAATTTTGCAAATACAAACTACACAATCTCCGTGTTTGGCTCTAAATAGTGGATCCATAATTTAAAAATTTAATTTGTATTTACCACACAATTAAAATAAAATTCCCATCACCACTAAAGATTCCTCTCTATATAAATCCATTCTATCTATCTATCTATCTATCTATCTATCTATCTATCTATCTATCTATCTATCTATCTATCATAATATAGACCTATACTGCCAATTGCAATAGATCCTAAGTTCGCGTGAACTAATGCAGTTCTGCTGAATTCACTGATTTATACATTCCATAAAGCCTGGCCCTAGGTAAAGAAATCAGATAAAATTTATCTCTGAACATTATGTATATAATCCTGGTATTAATTTAAACATGACTTTTCTCACTGACTTCCAAAAGAGCTGGATAAACTCCCCAAGACTGCAAGACATTGACAAGATAGCCTGTAAAGCAAGAAATTCAGACTTCACTTTAATTTCAAGTTTCACCATTATTTGAGACTCTCTCATTCAGCAATGCAGCTTGGGATGACCTTGACATAGAGAACACACGGACACCCTGGTCCTGTTTGACTGAGGCTGATAAGAATGGCTTTAGTTTCAGTCAAAACAATGGTGAAATTCAAGTGAGATTTTACCTAATGAATAGTCTCTTCAGCTGGGATTTTATCTAATGAATAGTCTCTTCACTTCAGTAGGTGAAAGGTCTGTTTTTAATCATGTTAAATAACACCCAGTAAAATCTTACAGCAGTACGCAATATCTTTTAATACAGAATGTTGAATTAATATGTACAGGTAAGTCTGTATTTCAGCTTGAGCTCCTAACTCCCGTGAAGACAATAAAGAACCTTGTCCTCATTAGAGTTTTATCTTACAAGATTCAGGTTGAGCTAAGAGTACAACTCTTTATTCCATTATTATGTTAAGATTTGAAATGTTAATTAAACTGAACAGCATAAAGCTTGTGTGTGAGCCTTTGAAAGACCGGGACCAGTTGTGTTGAGACAAAATCCAGGAAATCACAGGCAAGATACCCTTAATGTGGGGTTTGGAACAAGTCTCAAACTCTCATCTACACGACAACTGGTTTTAGTTCCATTCTCAACCCTGTGATGAATTCCTAGGATCTGCCACTCTCCTCCCTGAAGTCCAAAGATGGCTGTGGACAACCAGAGTCCCAGGGTTATCTCTGCTTACAGCAAGAGACAGAAAAGCCTCTGATGAATCTCAGCAAGTGGTACTGAACTTCTGTTTTCCAAACCTTGCACGAGACTTAATGTAGCTCTAGCTTCACAATGGCAAGGTTCTTCATCAGCTCTGTTGGGACCAGCTCATTTCACATTCTCGTTTCATTGCACTTATCAGAAACTTTTGCGAAAAAATTTCTTTGCCCATCCTTAGAAACAATGTATTAAAGAAGCTGCTCTCTACATTTGCCCAAACAGTTCATCACAGGAGTGTTATTTTCATCAATAAAAGAAATCACATTTTATTGGTAGGCAACAACTCTTTCTAAACTTCTTTACTATGCACCTATATAGCAGTAGATGCAATGGGTAAAATCTGAAAAAACATTTCAGTGATGTCAGAACTTGCTGTTTGTTTATTTGGGTTTAAATTCCTTACACTTTACTCTTCAGAAATCACGGGTGAGGATGTTTTTTTCATGAACGCACTTGCCAAAGCAAATCTTTGGCTGTCAGCCCTGATTAATCTTGTTACAAAACTAAGGTGACTTTGAGTGGAAGCAACTAGTAAATGTAAAATTAATTGGAAGTTGATTACATATATAGTATATTGACATATATAACTTTGCTGATAAATCACACAACTTGAAATGCGTATGCGGCTCCTCACAGAATTTAAGTACTTTTTGCAAATTGTTAGCTCAGTTCCTTGTGCACACAAGCATTATTTTAAATTATGCGTCAGACAGAAGTACTGTATCTGAAGATAAATGTAGAGTTGTATGGTATGTCTCTAAAGTAGTTGGTAGGCATAAAAAGAAGTACTTCAGTTGGAGTAACAAAAACCTTAGTAGGAAAGCTGGCAAGAGATACAGCTGTTCAGCTGGGAGCAAAAGATATGTCATAAAGCCACAGTGCTGTTTACTTCCCATTATATCTGAATTAAATCATATCCATGTTATCATCTGTTATATGGAATGCAAATATGTAGGAATCACTTGTTAAGCTCCACAGTTCTTTTCAGATATAAATATTTTTTCATACCTAGTATGTATGTATAAAACCATTATGAATATTACCAACTATCTGCTATACATAGGATATTTAGGTCTCCGTGCATTTCATAAATGTAACTTAGGGCAATGCTATACAAATAGAGCAACTACTTCACCACAAGAGTTACTGCAATGAGGGGCTCTAAAATCAATCCAAGCCCAAAATCTCGGATCAAAATGTTCCAGACGTTGGAGATGAACAGAATGAGACTTTTGTGGCTTAGTCTCATTACACTAGTCCAAGGCATGTGTGGTCCTATTTGTTCAGAAAAACAATTATTTTTTATTTTCTGCAGGAAAGAATAGCTTTCTTACAGGATCTCAAGCTATTCATGCAAATTGATGGCAGTGAAATCATGTGAGATGTGCCTGATTCTGTTACTCATTTTTTTTTATTTACTTGCCCAAAGCAATCTCTTTTTTAATTTAATTTTGCATGTAGTTTTGGAGATGCAACTTAGGGCTGAAAGCACATTTCAGTATGCTTATGTTAAAGAAGTCAAAATCTTTTTGAAACTATTTTAATTGGGTGTCAATGCTTTGATGGATGTTACTGTTGTATGAGCATGTGGAAGGGATTTTGATTTTTGCCTTTTCACAGTGATGGTGAGAGGCACTGGAACACTGTTAATTGCTACAGACTCTTCATGGCCATAGGCAGAACCTCAGCTATTGCATAAACAGCTTCAGTGGAGTTGCTGGGAGCATGCTGATGTACTCTGGCTGAGAACATGGCTAAAGGAACATTAAAAAATGGAAATTCAAAAGCTAACTGTTAAAACAGCAACAGCAACAATCTGAATTTCTTGTTTTCTTTTCAGAAGCAAACACGGGAAAAAATCAACCATATTCCTCATGCATATGAAGAGCAGCAGCATAGCCAGATATGGTTTATCGGATACGGTACTGGATGTTCTTATTCGCTTCTAATCTGTCTTTTATTTGACAGCACAGTCCAGGAAGTCTGTATAATGGAGGAGCTGGAGAGCTATTTCTGATTCCCACTTTCCCACTGTGCCATTTACCTTGCAACCTTCGCAAGTGATGCAGCGATAATGATATCCGGTGGCTTTGTCCCCACATACTACACATAGCTCATCCTTGTCTAAGTAACTGGGTATATACCCTGTAAAGAAAAAGAGGATGTGGCATGTAAACTCGATATGATACATTTGATATAAAAAGCTTATATTAAAATCCACTGTAGATCTTGTCTACCGGTCCCATACTTCTGAACTCACTGAATTTCCTGAATAAAAGTTTATACTATGTTACAGACTTATTTAAACACAGCCTTTAGTATCTTCTACTCTTCGGACTGTTTCAGCATCGACTGGTCAAGAGGGAGAAGTCAGAACATGATTGTTCTCTCCTGAGTGAAATACTACCTCAAAAAAATATTTATTGTTACCTCAAAAGGTTTAGTGTGAGATAATAAGGTAGCAGGGAGACATACAACATATTTCTCTTCTATATTTCAGAAAAAACTGATATACTTTTACACTGCAGAAGAGATCCCAGGTTTCAGCATGACTCAGGGACTTGGTAGCAAGAAATATTTACTGACAAACTGTTTTAAAACAGAGGAGTACTAGCAACAGATAGCCCAAGCTGTATTGATCATGCCTGACCTGGATGTGTTCCACAGGAACATTTAATATAGTCTGAATTTAGGGCAAAATACGTGGGCATTCAAATATATGTATGTGCGTATATGCATGTGTTAGAATGAAATCTTCTCTTCTGAAGTGGTTTACCAGATCCAACAAGTGAAATCAAATATTACTACTGTGAAAAACATTGGCAATGCTTGGTTCTTTTCCCACAATGGCATTTGCTTTGATAACATAAACATATTTTCAATTTGAGCAAAAAACCAAAGCAATTCTGATGGCAACCAAAAAGTAATTTTAAACTAAACACAACTTTTAAACAGGGAAAAATACAAACCTTTCAAAATCAGTGTTCATATGACTCATAACTAATGGAGTTATGGTACATAACTTTTTCTTCTGAAAAATCTCCCTGTGAAGATGAGATCTCAGATTCCCTTTGAGGGGAGAAAGTGCAGCTATTTATGTAACTGCATAAGATCACTGAAGTGTAGTAAACTTTTCACAGATTCCCAGAATGGCTGAGGTTGGAAGTCACCTCTAGAGGTCATCTAGTCTGACACCCCCGCTCAAGCAGGGCCACCTAGAGCCAGCTGTCCAGAGCCATGCCCAGATGGCTTTTGAGTACCTCTAAGGATGGAGACTCCACAAACTTTCTGGGTAATCCATGCAGTGCTCTGTCACCCTCACAGTGAAAAGAAAATATTATTTTATTGTTCTCAGAAGGAATTCCTTGTATTTCTATTTGTGCTCATTGCCCCTTGTCCTGTCACTGGGTAACACTGAGAAGAGTCTGTCTCTGTCTTCTACTGTATGGGAGATCAGGTATTTACACAAATTGATATCCCCTGCCGAGCCTTCTCTGCTCCAGGCTGAACAGTCCCAGCTCTCTTAGTCTCTCCTCCTAGAACAGATGCTCCAGTTCACCATCTCTGCAGCCCTTTGTTGGACTTGTTCCAATATGTCCATGTCTGTCTTGTACTGGGGGAGCCCAGAACTGGACCCAGCACTGCAATGTATTCCACTAGAGCTGAACAGAAGGGAAGAATCACATCCCTCAGCCTGCTGGTGATGATTTTCCTAATGGACCAGGATGCCATTGACACTCCTTGCCTCCAGGGCACACTGCTGGCCCATGTTTAACTTGCTGCCCACCCGGAGCCACCAAGTACTTCAACCAAAAGCACTTTCCTGCCAGTCAGGACCCAGCCTGTACTGCTGCGTTTATTATTCCTCCCCCAGTGCAGAATTTGGCATTTCCCTTTGATGGAACTTCAAAAGATTCGTCTCATTCCATTTCTCCAGCCCGCCTAGGTTGCTCTGAATGGCAGCACATCCATCTGGTGTCCCAACCACTCCTCCCAGTTTTGCATCACCTGCCAACTGTCTGAGTGCAATTTATGAGTGCAATGAGGGAGACTCCTTTGGATGTGGCTGCTTGTAACACTATCCATTGCCACTGGTTTGCTGAACCCATCTGTAGCACCACACGTTAGGTCAGACTTCAAGTTTGCTGTCTTTATGCAGCCCCCACACCAGTACAGTTCCATACAGCTTGGGGCCTTGCGACACTGGTCACAAGGAAGGCAACCAGCCACAAGACTCAGGGCAGCAGAAGGCTTTTGGAGGATGCTGCAAGAGGGGTGGTCATCATCTTCCTGCAACTAACATGCCAGAGTATCAGATCAGTAACAGATAACTTAAATAAAGTGCCTTCCTAAGACTATACTTCCAGAGGTTCTCCAGAAAGGAAAGCCCAAATCAGAGAGAAAACAGTTGAAATTAACTGAGCTTAAAACACTTAAACGTTATGGAGGCTGGTGAGTAGATTAGGTGAAAGTAAAGAAGGCAGAAAATATTTGTATGGCCTAGTTTGAGCATAATTATGAGAACCTCAAATTATAGAGGAACATATATCCCTCTTTTGTAAAGCCAGGAAGCAGCAGCACTCTGAAGCCATGCCTAGGTATGGGTTTCTCAGATCTGCTGATACTGGTATCTGAAAGGGGAGAGGGGGAATGAGCTTAGATCTTACTGATGTACCATACCAGTCTACAATACAGCAAGAGATCAGATTTACATTCAGGTTGCATTTCTCCAGGATGAACAGGTTATGCCTGGATAGACTGGTGGCCATGTGGAGCTGATTCTGTGACCTTGAGGGTTGAGAGACAGCAGGGTTTCGACTCCAATTTACATCACTGACTCCTAATGGACATTATGCCAGTGGGGGATTAGCAGAGGCTATTATCTTCATCCTGCCCCCACTTTGCTCACACCTGCCTCTGCACATGCAACACATACACATCATAGAGCTGATAGAGGAGGCAGAAGAGGCAGCAAAGGGATGCAGAATTTTCCCCTAAATTTCTCACAAAGATCAATGGTTTCTTGTTATCGCTGGCTACTGCTATTCATGAAATGCAGACTTTATGTAGCACAAACTATGTCATCCAAAATTCAGTATACCTGGTTTGCTTTCTTAAGAATTGCTTCTGAATTAAATGTCTTGATATTCCTTTAAGTATATAATCTGGTTAGTACTGCTCACATAACGGCAACTTTGTTCTGCTGGAGGAGCAGAAGACCACTTGTCTAAACCACTTCCTTAAATATATACAGTAGCTCACGCACATGACCACTGCTGTCCACCTCCTTCTTGGAGTTTCAGGACTTTATCCAACCCAGGAAACAGTTTCCAGTCTGGCAGAAAAGACAATCTCCTCTAAGCACTCCTAACCAGAGATTAAAAATGGTATCCTCACATGAAACCACTCCCTGTTTTCCTGCATCAGAAGTGCTAAGTGCCACCTACTTAAGCTACTTAAATATTATGTTCAGTACTTTTGCAGGACTGCGCCCCTGTCACAAGGGAAGCACACATTTGGAACTCTTCTACCGATTCAACAGGAAACATGAATAGAAAAACCTTATCCCAAGAAATCACTGACAGTAAAAGTGTGCAATACACATATCTTTTCTTTCTATTACAGATCTACACTTTTGTATATTTTTAACACTCTTTCCAACAGCTAATGGGGTCAGAAACAGCTAGAAAGCAGGAAAATTGAACCTTCAGTAGGTTCAATTTTTAAAAGATATAATTCAGACAAACAGATATCACTCTAAAAGGAATAAGGGGATTTATATTCAGTTCTTACAAACTGGAATGTCCACTGCAAATAATTTCTAGTAGTGGCAAATATTCTGTATAACCTCTGTATAAATTCAATGCAATTTCATTTGAAAGATGTGTAGATAAGCAGCCTCAGTGCATTTTTGCTGCTTCTCAGAGTTAGAAACAGTATCAGCAGGAAGAAATTCAACACTGTTTTTCTAAACATGGTACCAGCATGAAAGAAATGAATAGTGCAAATGGAGATTCTTGAGGAAGCTGTGGATGGCAGCAGAGTTATCTGTTAAATGGTTTGAGGAAGAAGCAGAGCAACAGGCTTGTCTCACTCCTTGCACCACTAATAAGAACTTGTCTCTCACATTGGCAAGTACTTTTGCTTCATGTGTGCATAACTCTGAACCAAAAATAAAAAACCCTACATGGGAAAGCAGATGCTGGACAGAGTAACTCAGGTGCTCTCTCGCGAAAGAAGAATGTCTGATAAGAAATCTCATGGGAACATTGGGTAGGTTCCTACTTCTGGTGTTCATATTTCATCCTTTATTTCTTGGTCAAAACCTGCTAAGTAAATAGCTATGAGGAACCATTCAAGAGCAACATCAACCTCATTGAACTGTACAATAACAACCAACATCATTCCTTGCTCTTTCAAGCCTCTGTCTGCTGCATTTCAGCATCCTCATGGACTATCATTTGGTGCATCCTGTATGATCCTGAATGTTAACTATCTGTCAAGTCATACTTGACAACGTTTATCCCAATGCCCATCTTGGATCTTTGCTTTGAGTGGAGAATAACAATGAATGATCTTGATCTGCCGTGCCTGGTGTTTCCCCTGCAGCCTAAAGCAACATCTTTGCTCCCCAGACTCCCACCTGCCACTCTGCCTAATCTTACTGTCTTGGCAAAGCTAAGTACTCAGCAGGACCAGTTGAACCTATCTAGATGAGTGTGTCATATAATCCATTATAGTCAATCATGATGGTGATTTACAATACCTTTTAAAATTGTAACTGTAGCTTTCTAGAGGTACAGCAAGGAACAATTCCCTTCGATAGGAAAACACGCAATGAGTTTGCCCCAAGCAGACATAAGGACAGAAGGAGATCTGCTAACCTATGCAGTCATCTGAGGTACTCTTTCATTAATACTGTATGGATACACTCTTGAATCACCATTTGCAGGAATGACACCTTAAAGCAGCATATGTGACCCTGCGCAGCGTAAGAGGTTAGAGAGACACAAATGAGACACTTGGTGGCTATTCATCCATGTAACAGGGCAAAGAAATCTATTTAAACTAAAAGAAACCATGAAAAATTATAGCGGTTGGTTTTCTTTTTCCTCTGTACCTGGCACACATTACCAGAAAAAAAA